TCTAGATCTACTGTCCATCAATGGTCTACTCTCTATCAATGGTCTACTGTCTATCAATGGTCTACTGTCTATCAATGATCTACTGTCCATCAATGGTCTACTGTCCATCAATGATCTACTGTCCATCAATGGTCTACTGTCCATCAATGCTCTAGATCTACTGTCCATCAATGGTCTACTGTCCATCAATGGTCTACTGTCCATCAATGGTCTACTGTCCATCAATGATCTACTGTCCATCAATGGTCTACTGTTAATCAATGATCTACTGTCCATCAATGGTCTACTGTTAATCAATGATCTACTGTCCATCAATGGTCTACTGTTAATTAATGATCTACTGTCCATCAATGATCTACTGTTTATCAATGATCTACTGTCCATCAATGGTCTACTGTTAATTAATAATCTACTGTCCATCAATGATCTACTGTTAATCAATAATCTACTGTCCATCAATGATCTACTGTTTATCAAGGACCAGGGTTCTACTGCTGATGTACGATTAGAGATCTGCTGTCTGTGAATGACTGGTGGCATACTGTAAATAGATGACAATAGATGATCAAGATGTGCTTATCACAAGTACACTGAATGAGCAGATGCTGGTTCTGCAATACAGTGCTGATGTGACGCTGCACACAGCTTGTGCCACGGTGAGGACGCTGCACGCGTTGCATTTATACTCGTGATGTGACTTTGTCGCGAGAGCGTGCGTCCGTGGTGACTGCGTCGATGTAATACTATACATCCGAATCACAGCTCTTGCATGTCGCAACTGTTTGTAGCAATCCCAACAGAGGGCGCGACTGGTGCTCGGCTGGATGGTCGGCTGCATCGCGCGGCATTGTTACGATTTACGCTTCTGTTTTTGTTTATTTTGTGTGTTTTTTTTATATTATTTGCTCGTTTTGTTTTAACCCAGGTATTTTATTGATGGCTTAGTAGCTTTAACAATGGGACATAGCGTCCTTTCTCCTCCCTCACCAGTTTGTCTCGTCTCTTTACTGCTATAGAGTAGAGATACCAGTTCACAACGTTAATTATTTCTTATTAATTAGTAATTATTTATATTTTCGTTTGATTCTTCTTATTGTTTGTCGCCATTTATGCCTGTATTACACGGGTGTGGTGTGATGGAAGGGGGCGCCACGATGTACACGCGTATCACATGATGTCTTTGCTCTGCGTCGCTAGCACCGTTCGGCCGAAATGAATTCGAAAAGCCGGCTGTCATTCGTGATACGTGGGGGCGCCACTGCACTGAAGTTTTTTCACATTCGCAAGCGCAATCGGAAAAGTCTTTCCCATGCGGCGCGCTCTTTTTGTTTTTCCCTGACTCGCGGCAATCGTGAGCGTTGCCGTACGATTTCACCGTTATGTTCTGCAGTGTAATAATCTATTCTCGTTCTATCGCCAGCTTTGGATGTGTCCAACTTCGGCTCGTTCATTCTGCTGAAGTGAAACTGTAGTTAAACTGGTAAAGTCTTCTGCACTGGAAGCACTGTTTTGATTGATTCACACGAGTCTGGTCGTGTAATTAACTTAACTCACCGGTTCTCGTGGACAATAACCGCCATCAGCTCTTTCATTTTCTCTCTCTCTCTCTCTCTCTCTCTCTCTCTCTCTCTCT